GGCGGGTGGGCGAGCGCGCGCTGTCGAGCTACGTGTCGGTGCACGCGGAGAGCGGCAAGGTGTACGCGCTGCAGCCACTAGACCACGAGGAGCTGGAGCTGCTGCAGTTCCAGGTGAGCGCGCGCGACGCGGGCGTGCCGTCTCTGAGCAGCAACGCGACGCTGCAGGTGTTCGTGCTGGACGAGAACGACAACGCGCCGGTGCTGCTGGCGCCTCGGGTGGGTGGCACTGGTGGTGCAGTGAGCGAGCTGTTGCCGCGGTCGGTGGGTGTGGGCCAAGTGGTGGCGAAAGTGCGCGCAGTGGACGCCGACTCGGGCTACAACGCGTGGCTTTCGTATGAGCTGCAGCCAGTGGCAGGCAGCGCTCGCTTCCCGTTCCGCGTGGGGCTGTACACGGGCGAGATCAGCACGACTCGTGTCCTGGACGAAGCAGACTCTCCGCGCCACCGGCTGCTGGTGCTGGTGAAAGACCACGGTGAGCCGGCGCTGACGGCCACGGCCACGGTGCTGGTGTCGCTGGTGGAGAATGGCCAGGCTCCAAAAGCGTCATCGCGGGTGTCGGTGGGCGCCGCGGGCCCAGAGGCGGCGCTGGTGAATGTCAACGTGTACCTGATCATCGCCATCTGTGCGGTATCCAGCCTGCTGGTCCTCACGCTACTGCTGTACACCGCGCTGCGGTGCTCGGCGCCGCCCGCCGAGGGCGCGTGCACGGCGGGCAAGCCCACGCTGGTGTGCTCCAGCGCGGTGGGGAGCTGGTCATACTCGCAGCAGAAGCGGCAGAGGGTGTGCTCTGGGGAGGGCCCACCCAAGATGGATCTCATGGCCTTCAGCCCCAGCCTTTCACCTTGTCCTGTTATGGGTAGGGCGGAGAATCAGGCTTTAAATGAAGATCATGATGCCAAAGTAAGTGAATTTTCATAATAGTTAATTTTTATTTTAAATTCATAATTTTTTCCGCAGATTTGTTTTCTATATTTCTGTTTTTAATTTTAATTAATTTTACAAAATTTACGTATTTTCATTTTATTCTGTTTCTTATTATAATCTCTTTGCTTCTCTAATATTTGTAATTTAAGTGGAATTAGAAATCATTGTCCACAATCTGCACCTCAGAATTTTTGTCTTCAAACCAAAATATTCTGGGACATGTCGTTTTCTGTTGCATTGTAATTCAGATTCTTAGTAGCATGTTTTTCTGATTAATTATATAGGATTTTCATTTGTTTGCCTTTGAGCTGTAGGAAAATTTTTTTTACATATACTCTGTTTTGATCATATATTGATATTTGAGCACCACTGTATCACTTATGCTTTTACACTTTCCATTTCAATGTTTTTTTGTTTTTTTTTTTTTTTTTTTTTTTTTTTTTTTTTTTTTTTTTTTTTTTTGAGACAGAGGAGTCTCGCTCTGTTGCCTGGGCTGGAGTGCAGTAGCTGGGACTACAGGTGCCTGCCGCCTCGCCTGGCTAGTTTTTTGTATTTTTTAGTAGAGACGGAGGTTTCACTGTGTTAGGCAGGATGGTCTCGATCTCCTGACCTCGTGATCCGCCCATCTCGGCCTCCCAAAGTGCTGGGATTACAGGCTTGAGCCACCGCGCCCGGCCTCCATTTCAATGTTTTTCTGCTGAGACTTTTATTAAGTTAACACTTTGATTTTATCCATTTTGTGTAAGAACTCTGATCATCATACTTTTTGTCTGTGGTTCCCTTTCAGACTTGTGATTCCAGGAGACAATAGTGTTTATTTATTGTCCCCCTTTTAAACCATTGAGGAATAAAGGACAAAAACAATAATTATCAGGCTGAATACTTCTGGTTGTTATGGTTGATTTATTTACTACTGATCTAAATACTGGAAAAATAGTGATTCAAGAGATTTTGGACCTTGTGATCAAGTAAATTTATATGAAAACTGCATTCCTCTGGCATTGCAGCTCTCTTATTTCTGTTTGAATTTCATTTGATGGTCTTCTCTTCATGGAGTCTAAATCTATTTTTTGTATTAATGTTTTCACTGTTTCTACACAGTAATTTAAACTATTCACTATTTTCTGTGTGTGAGTGTGTGTGTGACAGGGTCTTGCTCTGTCACCCAGGCTGGAGTACAGTGGTGCAATAATGGCTCACTGCACCCTCGAGTACCTGGGCTCAAGTGATTCTCTCACCTCAGCCACTGGAGTAGCTGGGACTACACGTGAGCACCACCATGCCCTCCGACTTTTTTTTTTTTGTAGAGACGGGGTTTCTCCATGTTGCCCAGGCTGGTCTCAAACTACTGGTTGCAAGTGATCTGCCCACCTTGGCCTCCCAGAGTACTAAGATTATAGGTGTGAGTCACTATGCTTGGCTATTCATTATTTCTTTAAATGAAAAGCAGCAAAAAGTAGTGATTAGGTGTGACTTTTGTTGCTATCCTACCTTGCCTAAACTTCATTGCTACCAATTTTGTTTTGTGGATGGATTGTTTCACCTCCATTTCAGTTTCTTCTGTAAAGTTGGAATGATAAACACTAGTTTCAATGATAGAATTTTCATAAAGCTTTAGTAAGTTGATACTGTAAGGTGCTTATAGCTGTGTTTGCCAAATAGTAAGTGCTTAATAAAATTTGCTACTAGTTTTCCGAAGAGGAAAATAAAAACTTTGTGTCATTTTATGTTAGGAAGCTCTCATTACGGATTCCGTATTGTTTTCATTTTATGTAAAGATTGAATTTTTGTTATTCATAGTGAGGCCATAATTACCAAATTAATCCGAGGTGTCTCTAACATTTTAAATGCCATGTTCCACTTCAAAAGTAATTTAAAATGTGTGTTTCAAAGTTGAAAATTGAATTAAGACTTGGACAGTGGAAAAGTTTTATGAATTCAAAAGACATTTAAACTGCTGAGTCCTCAGTGATTTCCTGAAGGTGGTTTTGACTTTTTGTGTTGTCCACGTTCCCACGAAATATTAGACTATGTTAAGCATGAATGGTGTATTTGCCCACATTTAAAAGTTGCTTAAGGGCCATTAGAGGACTGAGTTGAGGTTTGTGTTCCCTAATGTGAGCATTTTCCATTCTTGAAATGGCAGAAACCATTAGTAGTATTTTCTGTTTTCTAAAAGAAGTACATGATAATTTTAAGCATATAATTAATATTGCACCAAAATTTAAAAAACTACCTCTACATACTTAAGAGTTGCAGAATTGTCTCTGATTATACCGAAGATCACCATTTGTGTAGATAATGATATCTAACAATCTCAAAACAGCATACTTTCTTAGGAAGTAGAGAACTGCAGCGTTGCTAGTGAGTAAATGTTTTTTTAGAAGTTTCTAGGGGGGTCTTTAAGAGTATCACACTGTACCTGCTGAGAATCATCGAATTAACAACACCCAGTCCCTGGCTTCAAATTTAATAGATAAATAAAGATAAATATCCTACATAAATACGATGATAGTAAAAGAAAGAATATTGTAAGAGGTGCTAGAAAGGTACATCACAGTGTTATTGGAATAGAAAAAATGTATTTGCCTTTTTCCCTTGTTGAAGGAGTCCTTGAAGAGTCATGATGTTTTACTGGTTATAAAATGGAAACAGTTTTTCCTGGGAAAATATGGAGACTAATAGGTATTCTTGAGAAGAGAGTAACTAAGTGAGTACACGGAAAATTCCAAATGTACCTAGAAATAAGGAATAGTCAACTTTGGGTAAAGCACATGGTTACTATAAGAGAGACTGTGATATAAAGCAAGAAAAGTAATATGAGAAAAACCTTTTGGGTAACTTTGAGTACTAGACAAGTAATTTTGACACTCTTCAAAAGTCGTTTGAAAGCTGTCAAAAAGTGTGAAGCAATGGGAATCAAAAGTGTTTAAGGAAAATGACTGCAAGGATTAAATGAAGGAGAATGAAATAGGAATGGACAGGTTACACAATAAGAAGCCACTGCAATACTCCAGGAAAGCAGTAATTATGAAAACTTATTTAGGAAAACATCTGGATACAGACATAATTATTTTACATTGCCATTGGGAACATTGGAGTGAAACATTCAAGAAAACTAACACAGTAAGGTAGATCCAAAAAGGATGAAATAACTCAAGACTTGATCAAAGGGCTGCTTTATGTGAGATGGCTGAGCACTGAAATTTATCTAATAAAATAAACTTATAAAAGAAATAATACGAATAATATTTGAGATTGTATAAATAGGCAAATATCATAACACACAAGTGTTTGAAAGGATAAAATGAGGAAACAAATATAAAATCATGAACTCCTGAAACAGTATATGTAGATTCTGCTAAAGCAAAAGATTCAGAATACTTCCTCCTCAGAAAGTTCACATGATACAAATTCTTCCCCTTCAAAGATTCCCCAAACCTTCTCTTATTTTGTTTTCCCAAGAAAAGTGTCTAGATAGGTGCTAATGTTTCTTGCCTCCTAAAAAGAAAACACACACACACACACACACACACACACACACCCCTTTCTAAGTTTCTCTTTCATCAATCAGTAGATTCTTGAGATCCTGGGTCCCTAAAAGAGTACAGGATTTTTCTTAACAAGGGGTACTGAATCAAGAATATGAAGTTTCCTGGGATCCAGATCAAAGGAATTTAAACTTGCAGTTGTTTAGATTCATGTTGTCACTTAGGTTTCTGTCTTTATTTAAAACTGTGTGAAAAAAAAGTTTTTCTAAGGCATGAGGAAGCTACAATTATGTTCACACTAAGTATTCAAAAGCCATCAGTCACCTAAGAATGCTTCTAACAAGCATGAGAAATGCTATTTTAACCTTTAACAACAATGAAGAAAAAAATTCAGAGTTTGAAATAAAACTTTTCAACCGATTAATAGTTTGTAATTCTTACTTACCATTTGGGCCACATGATGTCGCTCTTTACCGCAAATTCTTTCATAATCAACAAAAGGAAGTCATTCCTGTTCGCACTGGAAAGACGCTCCACTCTCTTTCACTCTTCAGATGCACAACAATGGCCACACATCGAGATTGAAATGAAGGGATAAAAACATTCCTATAAATTCGGAGGCAGGTTTTGCTGACTAGAAAAATAAAACGCCAATAATCTGAAATGGTGTGCCGGAGTGGATACGACCCAGGGCGCCGACATCTACTGCTGTTTGTTACAATTCTAGCTGCTTGGGAGGCGGGGAGAGGCCAGCTCCACTACTCGGTCCCCGAGGAGGCTAAACACGGCACCTTCGTGGGCCGCATCGCGCAGGACCTGGGGCTGGAGCTGGCGGAGCTGGTGCCGCGCCTGTTCCGGG